ATAGCATTAAAATTTCTTAAACAATGCGAGAGAGGGAGGGAGGGAGGGGGAGAGAGAGGCATTGTAAAACCTCGACATCAACATTTTCGAATAAAAAAAAAAAAAATAATAATAATTACTTCCAAAGCATCACCGCTGACTACAAGACAACAATCTTGTTTTTTCCTAAAAGCATTTAATTGTAAATGAGCTTCCGTTCGATTTGTGACGTTTTTTAAAACGTGTAAACTTTGTGATTTAGAAACAAGTTTAGAACTTTTAGCTATGCACTGGGCTGTTTCCAATTTATCACCAGTTAACATCCAAACCTTAAAAGAAATTTTAAAAAAAAAAAAATAATAATAATAATGATTAATAGATTTTAGTAACGTTTTAATGTAAACAGAAAATAAGCCAACAAAAAGATTGATAACCCAAAAAAAAATATTTTACAGAATAAGATTTCATTATACATAATTTTTAAATATATATTTAAAATTTAATTATATTTCCTTACCTTAATGCCAGCATTTTTTAACAATTCAAGAGTTGGTCTTACACGTTTTTGCAATCTATCTTCTACGCCAGTCAAACACAAAAGTTCCATTTCTCTTTCTAAATTTTCTATAACGCTGCTAACCATATTATTTCGATCCGTTGTACTCAATCTCGCAGCATTATATTTCACCTTTAAAAATTATTCACACGATAATAATAAATTACCAATACTGAACATTATTATTATTATTATTATCGTAGATTATGAAATAAAAAAAATTTATAATAACATTGTTATTGAACCCGAGATTATTTTCGATATGATATTTTAATTTTCTTAAGATATTTATATTTATTAAATCTTACATCAAAATCTGAATATTGCTCAGGAGTTAAAGTTTTTTTTGCGACGACCAAAGTACGAAGACCTTCCCTTGCCAAATTTCCACATTCTTCGTTTAACCAATCATTGTACTGAACAATATGCGTCATAACAATGTCAGCACCTTTTAAATAAAATGTTATTTCTTTTGTTTCTTCGTTCTGAAAATAATTTATATTATTAGTAAATTAATACTAAAATTTTAATATTTTATTTTGTTGTTTTTAATCTTCTTAAAAATTCAAAAAAAAAAAAAAAAAATAATTACCCGAACAATAATTCCCATTCTTTTAGATTCCGAAGTAAATGGGAAAATTTTTAATATTGTAAATGCAAGGGTTTCGTTGAGAGGATTTTTCAATGAAATCGAAGTTAAATCTCTCTTAATTAAAGTCAAGCCCATTTGTTCTGTCCATTTGACTAAAGCAATTTCATCTGGACTTGATGCCTAAAAATAAATTAAAAAAAGACCAAGATTTTAAACCAATTGAAAGTTTTAATATTTAATAGAATTTGCCATAATAGAGAATTCACCTGGTAAATAATTGTGTCGTGAACAGTTTCGCTATCACTATCAGTCATTGAAAAATCAATATTCATCAATTTTCCACTATTTTCACAATTTTTTTTCTCGTATGTAGGAGTAACATTATGACATAAAGCAATTGCTTCGACAGCATCTTTTACGCGAGACCAATTATATTTTTTAACTTTTTCTCGAAGTTCGGTTTTCTTTTCAGAATTTTTATCATCATCTCTCGAAAGATCATCGGGATTTTTCGATACGTGACTATAGGCTTGCCTCAACTGAAGCTTAATCTGAAAAATGTAAAAAAAAACTTTTGAGAAAGATATTTATGCTAAATTTTTTTTAGTTATCCTTTAGAAAAATAATTTTATCAAAATTAAAATAGATATTATAGCGTTCCTACTTCATCAAAAGAATCCGTTCCGTAACATAATGTTTCCAAATATAATTTTTTGAAAACCATTTCATTTTGGGTAAGGGTTCCAGTTTTATCTGATAAAAGATATGATATTCTACCTAATTCTTCGGGAATGGTAGTCGATCTGAAATCAATAAAAGATACGACATAAGAACTTTCCAAGGGGAAAATTTTGTAGGATTTTAAACGAGATAAAACAACGAACAAATTTACCTGATTACCGTTCCTTTTATTTCTTCATCTTGCTGTATGCAACAAGAATAAAAAAATTTACTTAAATCTAAATTGACTCTTAAACTCAATGGTATTATGTAGGAAAATAAAAGAATAAATCTGAAGAAATATTTATACCAGGGTCCATTAAATCCTTTTAAACACGTCATTAATAAAGACAAAAAAATAACGGCTACAAACAATATCTAAAAAATAAATATTAACATTATAATAATTACAAAATTAGATTTTTAAGACAAATAAATTGAGCTACAATTAAAATGCCAATCACAGCAAACAAAAAAAAAAAAAATCTTTCATTTGTTGGTATAGCTATACCACTATGCCAACTTTAAATGACTTATAATAATTTTTATTACGATTGAATGTATGAATGAATTAAATTAATTTTATTTTTTTTGTTAAAAAAAAATTTAAAATTAAAAACTTACTTTAGTTAAATAATTGATTTCCAAATCGAACAAACCAACTTTGCTACGAGGTTGAGAATTATTAATGACGCTTCTTGTTTCACTTCCAGTGTAAATAACAACTCCTAAAGCTGTCCCATTAGCAATCACAGTATTTCCCCACAAAGTGTTTTCTATGTCCAAGCTAATTTCAACTCGATGTTCATCGTTCTAAGAAAAAAAATGACTTTAAATGAATGTTTCTATTAACGAAATTAAAAATTTAAGATTCTAGAACCATGGTGACAATAAAATCATGTGAAAAAAAAAACTTTTTAAATAAAATAAATGTAAAACAATGAATGGAAGAAAAAATTTTATTTTTTAAATATTTTACTCACCCTTTGGAACGTTCCAATAAAAGAATGTATGTCTCTTTGCGGTTTTTCAATGTACAATGAAGAAGACATTGAAAATAACTGTTCATCATTTTGAAGTTTTTGTGATTCTGATATGGCCAGTCTTAATTTCCAATCGGTTTCTCCATCCAACTGATCAGTTCTGATAAAAACTGCACCAGTAGTTTCAGTTGTCCGCAACAGAATTAAATCTGCAGGTACCCTTTGGTCTTTTTCTACATATATCTGAATAACAAAAAAAAAAAAATTCAATTAAATTCAATTACTGTTTTAAGAGATAAAAATAAACCTTAATCAAAAAAAACCAACAGTAGGTAGACTTCATACCCTTACATATTCAGTTTTAAAATTAATACATTATATATATATCAAGTTTTTTAAATTTAATACATTACATAATTATATATATTAATATTTCTTTTGAAAGCCAAAATTACTTTTCAAATCTAAATTGTAAACCATAAATGTCTTGAATTATTTTAAATTTTTTCAAGAGTGAAAAATATATATAAATGTTAGTGAGTGCATATTACCATATCTCCAACCATAAGTTTGCTGGAAGAGACATATTCATAAAAAGGTGGCTGATTAATCAAACGTCTGTATTTTTGATTATTGACAACCTTGTCCCTTTGGTGTCGTCTTAAATCATCTATAGCTAAAAAAAACAATAATGAATTTTGTCAAATTTTGTTCATAATAGTATGAATTAAATTTTAACAAAAATAAATTAACCTTCTCTAATCACAGTAACAATTATAACAAAGGCTAAAGGTCCCCAGTATGTATACAAGTACCCTATTTTAACATCTGGTATAAATTGACTTAAAGCCATAATTAAAAAATAAAAGTTTAAAAAAAAACGAAATTGCTCGAATAAAACCTTTGGAAAAAAACTTATTAAATTATATTTTTGATTCCTTATCACATTTGGAGGGTACCTGCCGACGGTAGAAGTTCCCAAATTAATTATCCTATCCTTGAGTTCAACAGGTTGACAACAGCAGCAATAAAACAATTTCAAAAACCTGAAAACATAATAATATTTAATTTTAAAGTGATGACTTGAATGGCTCGCATTTAATTTATGTGAACTTGGTACATTTGTAAAAAATAAAATATAGAATATGTAAATTTTTACATGAAAGAAAAAAATTCAATTGTAATACTTGTCTAACCTGCTAATTTTAAAAAAACTTGAAAAGTTTTTTCGCCATTGTCCAGGTGTTGGTTTTACAAAACAGGCTTCAGATTGCAATAAATAATTTCGTTCATCCATTTCGAAATCGTGTGGACTATTTACGGAAACAATTAAAGGCACTTCTTCCTCCATAAAATAGAAAGCAACTAGGCTGCCAAGTAAATAAAGTCTAATAATTTAAAATACATTTCTGCGCGTAACAGTTTCATACGACTTAATCAAAGCCCCAGTCAGTACTTATATGTTGTACAAAAAAAAAAAAAAAAACTGACTAATATTACTCTATGGAAAAAATCCAGGAGGCTTTTAAAATTGGCTCTCTTTAAAACTCGTGATTAATTATATTTTCTTGTTTCAAATACTTATAATTACCAAAGTAATCAATAATTAAATGTAATTTCTTTTTTTTGTTTGCTTTATATCATTAAAAGAAGTAATACTCTAGGTAGGTAAGTGCTCTTTTTTAATAAAGTGAGAAAATTTCGCCAAAAAAGAAACGAAAAGTTTTGCCAATTTTTAACTTCGAAAAATCATTTTATATTTTCACCGTTTTCAATTTGATCAGATTTGACATTTATAAATTTTTTCCATTTTGTTTTAAACTCTTATTTAATTTATTTTTCTAAAACTTATTTTTGTTCTCAATTGATTTCTTACATTTATTTTTATTGTTATTTCTGCAGTAAACCCATACATTAAATTTCAATATTTTGTGGCTGCCATTTTTTTTTTTTTTTTTAAAGATTTTGTTGTTTTATTCATTAAAAATGAAATTGATAAATATTTTAGAACTACATTCAATATGAAAATATGTTCAAACATATAAAATTTAAAACATTTGTGAATAACCTAAGAATGTTATAAACAAAATTGAATTTAATGATTTTTAACTCGATTGATTGATTACCAAATTATATTTAAGATTTATTACCCCTTAAAATGTAATGAAAATTTAGCATTTTTTATTTTTGCGTTTAATTCGTTTTAAAATAATTTCAATTATTTTTTAATTTTATAAATTTTATATGAAAAAAAAAGAAAATGAAAAAAAATTGATAGATTTGCGCATACTCACCCTTAATAACTCCTCCCTATATATTTAAAGCTCTTGCTCTTTAGTGATTTCGCACTTTTGATTCGATTAAAAAAAAAAAAAAAAAAAAGGGACAAGATGTTTTCGTAAATAATAATTATTTATTTGTGTTTTTTTTTCTAAGTTTAAATCATTATTTGTGAAATAAATTTATTAAGAATATTTATTTTTAATTAAAGACAAAAAAAAGAAAGAAAAAGAAAAATTAATCAATATGAAAAAAATTTGTGCTTTTTTCAGTAAAAAATTATTTTTTCTTATTCAAAGATAAATAATAATAATAATAATAAAAAAATATGTAATCGTTAAAATGTTAAAAAAATAAAGTGATTAAAATAATTTATATTTGTTAAATGAAAAACAAATGAATGTCATATAAAAAAAATGAAAAGGTTATTTTGCTTTTCGCGCGAGATTTAAGATCCCCTAAAAAATTTGTAATTAATTTGACTTATCAAACGTATATTATTATAAATAATAATTAATCACTTATCAATTTTATATGAAAAATCTAGAAAAAATTTTCCTCATATACACGTCAAGTAATACCCGTTTGTTATTTATTTTCTTCTCGTTTAAATTTAATTATAATAATAATAATATCTTGTTAAAATAATTTATTGTTGTTAATTAGAAAAAATGATAATATTTATTAAGTGTTATTACTAATAATAATAATAATAATAATAATAATAATAAAAATAAAACCAATATGTCGGATTCAAATTTACAAAAGGAAAACTCATTGGACGAAAGACAAAAACGAGTAGCATTGTCTACATCACAACGAAAAGAGGTTGTTATATTATAGATAATAATAATAATAAAAGTTTAAAAAATAATTTTATTGTAAACTACTTGGTAGCAGCGTATCGGTATAATAAATGAATGAATTTGTTTTTTTTTTTCTCCAGGATTTAAATGGATCACCTCCGAGTGAAAGGAACTGGAGAGGAATTTTAATAGCACTTCTCGTCATTATTGCCGTTTTAGGTTTGATTATATGCTCCATTTTCCTTTTATCCCCACCAGATGAAGAGCCAAGGGTGCGGGGTAAACTTATTTCTTTCGATAATATCGTTCAAAATAAATATAAGCCACGTTTTTTTAATGGAAGTTGGATATCGGAATTGGAAATGGTATATAGAGACGAATATGGAAATGTTAAAATGTTATGCGTTGAAAATTTTACAACTAAATCACTTATAACAAATACGACATTTGTAAGTTTATTTTATTAACTTGACAAGCATGATAATAATATTTCATGTTTTACGTTTTTACGAATTTCTCCCCTCCCCCCTCCTTGGAAAATGCAGTCGGATAATTCATTAGAATAAAAAAAAATTATAGAGATTAGAAAGATTTTAAAATTAAATTAAAATTAATCCGTTAATCAAAATTCAATTTAAAAATCTGCATTAAAACTTGCATAATTTTTTTTTATAATTAATAAATTATTATTAATTCGAACTCTAATAATAAATAATTTTTTTTTTTTTTAGGAATTGGTTAATGCCGTAGATTATAAAGTTTCAGCCGATTTGAATTATATTTTATTGATAACAAACGCGATAAGGATTTGGAAATATTCTTTTAGAGCTAAATATTATGTTTATGAAATTGCAACCGAGTAAGTTGGAATCAAAAAAAAAAAAAAAAATTTTATACTTAAAAGTCAATTTAAATATTCTTAATTATATAATAAAGGAAAATATTATTATTATTTCAGAGAATATTTTCCATTGAAAGCATCTCAAGAATATAGCGATTCCGATGATTTTCCATTCTTAGAATCTGCCACTTGGGCTCCAACGGGAAATGCAATTGTTTTTGTCCAAGAAAATAATTTATATTACAAAGCACGAATTCGTAAGCCCCAGGTATATACAATAACAAGAGACGGAATGAAAAATATAATTTTTAATGGAAGACCTGATTTCTTTTATGAAACAAAAGTTCTACAATCAGGAACAGCTTTTTGGTTTTCTTCAGATTCAACAATGTTAGCTTTTGCAAGTTTTAACGTAACGGATGTTGAAAAATTGCATTATTCACAATATGGTACTACGGTAAGTAAGATATATCTGTAAGTTGCGTGAGGAAAATGTAAAAAAGAAAATCATGTAAATAACTTTTTTTATTTTTTTTTGTTAAATAGAAATATGGAGAAATTAAAACGATAAATTATCCAAGGACAGGAACGGAAAATCCAAAAGTAAAATTAACAGTGGTAAATATGACTTACCCTAAAATATTAAAGACTACAATAGTTCAACCCCCATCGATCTACGTCAAAAACAAGTACGTTGTAATTTCTTTTGTTTTTCAATAACACTCCCATTATTATTCATAACGATTAGTCTTTGTTTAATTTTTTTTTTTTTTTTAGCGATTATTACCTAACTGGAGTTAAATGGATAGATTCTAAAAGAATTTCTGTTACTTGGATGAATCGAAAACAAAATATAACTTCAATAAGTATTTGTAAAGCTCCGCAGTGGATGTGCACCGACGTAAATTTTTTTAAAATTGTTTAATTACTATTATTATTATTATTATCATTATCGAAATTAAGCATTTATTATCGTGTTTAGATTTATCAAGATTTCGGTAAAGAAAGTTGGGTTAATAAAATAGAAGATCCGATATTTGACAATAATGGTACTTGGTTTCTTGCCATATTACCATTGCAAGGAAGCAACGGTGGAAGATTTCAAGAACTTTGTCAAGTAGACAGCGCTAGCAGAAAATTTATTTATTTGACTACTCCTCCGATGATTGTAAAAAAAATTTTAGCCTGGGATATGCGAAACCATGTCGTGTAAGCATTAGTAAGACTTAATAATATCCACAAATTTTTTTACTATTTTTTATTTTATGTTGTGAGTCAAATTTGATGAATATGAATTTTTTTCCTTAGATATTTTATAGCAGTTTTAGAGCCTGGAAGCCGTCATTTATTTAAAACTGGAGACAGGCATTCATCTCATAGATCTTGGGATTGTTTAACATGTTTTTACGGGAACAGAACATCTTTTTACAATAAAAAAATTTACAATAATATATCTGTGATAAATGGATTTTACAAAAATTTTTTAGTTAACGTTACGTTAAGTGAAGACGATTCAAATTTTCAATGCCTGTATTCTAACGTCTATTTTAATTCCGTTTACAATCCAAAATATTACGTTTTAGATTGTCTTGGTTAATATCTTTATAATTAATATGAAAACTTATAATTAATTAAAAACTTTTACTTACATGTATGTATGTGTGTGTGCAGGTCCCGAAGTTCCGAGCGTTTTTATTTTTGATGTTTCAACAAATTCCATGTTAGCCGTATTAGATGCCAATTCGGAGCTTAGAAGTATTTTTCAAGCTATGGCCGTCCCACAAATAAGAAAGTTTCAGGTAATCTAACTGAAAACAAAAAAAAAAAAAAAAAAAAATTCTTATTAAATTTCATTCAAATATTATATTTACAGGTTGAATTAGAAAGCGGTTATCATGCACAAGTTAAACTTTTGTTACCGCCAGGTTTGAGAGAATATGAAGATATTAGTTTTCCATTAATTCTTAATGTGTAAGTACCCACGATCGGATGTTCAAAATAGAAAATTTTAAATAAAAATTAAAGATAAATAATTTGATTTAGAGATTCTTCTCCTGGATCTCAACTCATCACGGAAGAATTTAAGATCGATTGGTGGTGGTACCTCTCAAGTTGTAAAAATATAATTATTGCAGAAATAGATGGTAGAAGTTCCGACTTTCAAGGAGATAAAATTATTCACAGAATAAATAATAAAATTGGTAATTTCCGTTTTTTCTCACTTCTCACTAATCCTAAAAAAAAATATATATATATTTATTAAAAATAATAATGTTTAGGTGCAGTAGAAGTCGAAGATCAAATAGCAGTAGTCACATATCTTAGAGATACATTAAAATTTATTGACAAAAATCGAATGGGGGTTTTTGGAAAAGGTCAGGGTGGGTATTTAGCAGGAATGATCATAGGTCAAGACAAAGATCTTTTTCGGTGCGGCGTATTAGTAAACCCGATAACTAATTTTTTACTCGCAGGTAATAAAATTATAACTTTTTTATATGTATAAAATAAAAAAAAAGGTAGTAATTTGCGTACATATACTTTTTTTCAGATACGTATACCAGTGAAAAATACATGGGTCATCCGAACGATTCGGAAAAATATAAAAATTACGAAGAGAGCGATTTGAATAAAAAAATAGAAAGTTTTAAGGGAAAACAATTTTTGTTGATTAGCAGTTTAGCGGATACAGAGGTTCCAGTTGAACACAGCATGGTATTTGTCCAAAATTTGATCAAAGAGAATATAATTTTTAGGCATCAGGTATATTATTTTTCTAATGAAGTAAAAATTGTTTTCTTTCGTGATGATAATGAAGTTTTCCAATAATTAAATGTAAAAAATTTAATGATGATAACTCATGAAAAAAAAATTAATTAATTGATTCACGAAATAATTATTTAAATAATAATTCACTAATTGAAAATGTATTAAACAAGGTTTATCCCGATGAGGATCACGATTTGACTGGAGTTTCACTGCATTACTACAATCTGATAGAGACTTTTTGGAACGATGTTTCACTTCGACGTCAAACAATCAGAGTGGGAAGAAATGGGGAGCTTTAATTTTTTCACAAAAGAATAAAAAGGAAAAAAATAAATAAATTCGGTTTTTATCAAATGTTTAGAAAAAATGATGATGTTATTCCGTTTGAATTCAAATAAAGTTTTTCTTTTTTTCCTTAAATTTCTGGCGCACATAGAAGAGTCGCGCGCGCGCAAAAAAAAAAATTTTACTTATTAAAAGTAAATAATATATAATTTAAATGATGCCAATATAAATAAATATATATATGTATGTATAAAAAAATGCTACAAAAAATGTAAAAAATTCTTTACAAAATATTAATTTCCTTTTGTCTTAAGTAGTAAACTTTGATTTTATTCATCGAGCTCGCTTCTTGTGCCAAATTATATTTCGTATTTTTATATTTATAATTATATATATATGTTTTTTTTTTTTTTTTTTTAAATGTGTAATTTATAATGTTTAATTTACGGATTATGTATTTTCCGATGGATTCAATTTGTTTCATAATTGTATAAAAAATAAAAATTTTAAATTTTAGCATCAGGATGTCTTTCTATTAGCATGGCTACACCTTGACCTCCAGCTGCACAAGCTGATAACACGGCATATTTTCCATTTTCCTTAATCAATCGATTGGCACAATGAGAAACCAATCGAACGCCAGTGGCTGCAAATGGATGCCCTATGCTTAACGATCCACCCCAAGAATTAAATTTACTCAGTTCTGGAACTCCTATTTTTCCCGGCAAGTTAAGATGAGTTTGACAATACCAATCCGAGTCCATGGCTTTTAAATTGGCTAATATTTGACCCTGTTATAAATAAATTTACATAAACCGCAAATCCAAAAAAAAAAGGGGGGGAGGAGGGGAAAAGGCTATCAATTGACTTACCGCAAAAGCTTCGTGAACTTCCCAAACATCAATATCTTTCATTTCTAATCCTGATGTCTTTAAAATACTAGCAATGCATTCGGCCGGAGAGAGTAATAATTGGTCTACAGGATCTTGTGATTTGTATACAAAATTTTTTAGATAGACTTTTGGTTTTAGACCGAGTTCTTTAGCTTTTTTTTCAGACATGATCAGGGATGCTGAAGCTCCATCAGTCTGTAACAAAAAAAAAAAAAAAAAAAAAAATTTTTTTTAAATTTACATTATGAATGAATATTTTATGTTAAAAAAAATTTTTTTTTTTTTTGTGTAAATACTCACTAAAAATGAAGCGTTAGCAGCCGTTACTGTTCCGTATGGTTTAACGAATGCAGGTTTTAATTTAGAAATTTGCTCTTTTGTCGATACCCTGATGCCATTGTCTTTTTCTATAACTTTTCCAGTGTCAGGAACTGTAGGTTTTTAAAATTTAACATTAATCATTATTAATATTATATATATAGATTGATATAGATTAACTTCACAAAATAAATAACAAAATTAAATTAAAAATTTTTTTTTTTCTTTCCTAAAACCATATTATTATTGTTTTAAACTGGAAAAATCAATTATATTAAATGAAATTAAAAATGAAATACGATTCACGTGAGACATGTACATTCTTTATTGAGACTGACATTTAAAAAAAAAAAAAAGAAGAGAGAGAGAGAGAGAAAACGAACGTTTTTTATTATTATTAAATAAAATTAAGAAAGACTTGAAACTTTTCAATTTTAAACTCATTTCAAAATTGAAAAAATATTAATAAAAAAAAATTAAATTACCTATGAAAGGAACTACATCGGAGAGCAGACCTTTTTCTTGAGCTTGAGCAGCCAAAGTATGACTTCTCAATGCATATTCATCCTGTTCTTCTCTGGTTATTTTAAAAGCAGCTGCCAATCTATCAGCAGAGTGTCCCATTGTTTCCCCAGAAGTGAATTCGGCTACAGCAGGAGCCTAAATAAAAATCAAATCATTTTAACAAAATTCTTTCTTTTGCCAAATATTCAAAACACAAAGTAAAATACTTACTTCGGGTATAAAATCTTGTGGTTTAATTTTAAGAAGCAATCCTAATTTTTGTTGTGGTGTTTTTGCCTTATTCAATTTAAGAAAAGTTGATCTCATGTTTCGAGAATGTCTTATTGGAACGTCAGACATGGTTTCTACTCCACCGCAAACAACAGTGTCATAAGCATTACATGCTATCATTCCCATTGCTAAAAAAAAAAAAAAAAATTATCATCTTGTTAAAAATAAAATAAAAATTATTTCATAAACTTTGGATTCTTTACAATTATGTAATTGCAAAAATAATTGATTAAAATTGAAAAAAAAAAAAAAAATTATAATTAAAAATAACCATAAAAAAAAAGCATAAAAATATTTTATAACTTTTCCACTGATTGATGTATGCAAAATATGATTGTTTAACATTTTAAAAAGAATATGTTTAGTATTTTCAACTATTAATCACACAGTTTTATTATACAGTTTTTAATTGTCATTTTCACTGAAAAACATTTATAATTTAGTTCTACAAATTTTTCAACTATTCACTTTTAGCATCTAATAATTTACAAAAGTATTCAAAATTTAATTAATCAAGAGCAATTTATTTTATCAATAATAATTTTAAAAAAATTTCATTAAATTATTGTCTTTATTTTTATATATATGTACATACATAGATCCACATAGAAACAAAAACTATAAGAATGTTTGAACTTAAATAGTGGTTTTAGACTTTGCCCCCTAATTAGAATTGAAAAGGAAAGTCCCTAGAATTGAATTGAAAGGTGTGTCTATTTAAGAGATCATGCAAAATAATTTTGAGAGAAATTACCTGTTGTGATTGCTTGATTGGAACTGATACAAGCCTGTGTAACAGTGTGAGCAGGTATTTTGTTGGAATAACCAGCACACACTGCAGCATCTCTTGCGATGTTGCTGGTTTTGACTTCTTGAATAACTGTACCATAAACAACATATTGTATTTCTTCTTTAGGAATGCCTGTTTTTCGAACAAGGCTCCTGCAATTAGATAAAAAATAATATGAGTTTCAATATAAAATATTAAAAATAATTTACTTTGAATACACAAAATCACAATTAATATTATTAGTGTAACATTGTTATTTTCTTAATACATTATTATATTCACAGAGTTTTTGTTCATATATTCAAATGAAAAAAATTTAATTTATTTATACCTACACCAAAGCATGAGTGGCTAAATCATGAGCATTAACTTTGAATAATCTGTTCCAGACACCAAGAATGGAGTTCTAACACCATCAATGAATACAACATTTCTTCCCGTTATGTCTTTTACCGAAGTTGAGGCCAAAACTTTGGAACTATTAGAAAAAGACAGTATTCTTGATTTACCTGAAGTTAAAATTAGTTATTTGTAATTTCAAAAAAAAAAAATAAACTCACTCACTTATCACTACGTTTAAATTTGAAAAAAAAATAAATTAAATAAAATAAACTTACTTAAAATATTTCTAAAGTTATTTTTAGGTATACTATTAACAATTGAAAGAGCCATTTTTGTCTAATAAGGATTTAAGTGTGTCGATCACTCTTTTGTGTCAAATTAAAAACAACAAATTGATAATCTCATTCGAGATTAAATTAAGCCTACGATGAGTGATGTAAGAAAATTATATGATTTATTTACTCTATGGTAATCGTTTTTCTCTCTCTCTCTCTCCCTCTCAAGCTCATTTACTCGTTCTTTATACAGAATATAATTTCAAATAATTTTTAACTTTATTTTAACTAATAAGATTTTTATGGAATCCAAAATAAATTAAATTAGTTTCATTGTAAGTAACCTCCATATTTACTATCATTTTTCGATCGATAATATTGAAATTTAAATTCGAATAATATTTAGGAATTTGTCATTATTTAATAAAAGTTATGTTTTGATAATCAAAGAAATAAGTTTCACAGAAACTTTTTTTTAAATTATTATTTCCCCTCCCCCCACAAAAACTATTTTTATATAATAAAATATTGGGTTTGGTTTCCTTTAAGGAAAAATATAAAAATAAATTTCAATTAGTTAATATTAAAAGCGAAAAAACTTTTTAAAGAATAATAATAATAATAAGTTAAAGGTACATTCTGACATTACCCTCGTTATGTAAAAACAGAAAAGAAAATGTTGATACATGAATAAGAGAGAATTAAAGAATCGGATAAGATGTTCCAGCACCAAAAGAAATATTTAAAACTATTATTACTGCCAATAATTTTAAAAACAAGTATTTATCTTATTTTAAATTTCATTACAGCCTTTGTATTTTTAATTTATTTAATTTGTAACAGTGATTAATATAAAAGCTGTAAAGCACATTTTCAAAAACTTTTATTTTATTAAAAAATGTTTAATAAAATAAAATATGTATTTGGATGTAAATTTAGTAACAAATTCATAAAAAAAAATGTTTACATTCTTAAAGGCATACATAATATATATATATACATAGTATTTAAAAATTATAAATAAAAAAATTATACCTATTTACAATCAGGTTGGGACACCCACACACATGACAAATATAAATACTCATGTTGAGAAAATCTCTCATGTTGTGTGTGTGTGTCTGTCTTTATTTTAGTTTTTCTTTGTTGGTTAGGGTGGGGAAAGCAAAAAAAAAAAAAAAAAAAACTTTATTACGGATTTATATAAAAAAACTTAATTCTACAAACGAAGAAACGTCAAGAACGAGTTAAGAATAAAAAAAAAAAAAAAAAAATTTGAAAAAATAATTTTTCTTAGGTTGCTTGGCAACAGATGCAGCTGCGGATGAAAATGCTGCATTGGCCGAGATTTTAGTCGCCAATTTTTCCGCCAAATCATTACAGTTTAGTTTTATACAACGGTTTGGTTTGGTTTCTTAAAAAAAAAAAAAAAAACAATTATTTTTCAAAACATATTAAATAAATTAACGTGATTATAATAAATACTTGAAAAAATTTAAGTGTTGTACTCACAATGTAAATAAGAGAAAAAAAATTTTTTTTTCATCATTATAATTAAATAAAAAATTTTTCAAGTTGAAATTTTGTTTTCTTATTTTTTTTTTTTTTCTGTTGATAATTTTATCTCGGTGATAGTTAGTTATTATTTTAATTAATTAATTAATAAAATGAAAATATTTAATTTAACTGAAAATAAGTACATTCTGTTTCAAAAAAAAAAAAGTTTCAAATATGAAAAGATTTAAAAAAAGAAAATTTTTTTTTTAATAATTTAATTGACATGAAATTAGGTTTATTTTAAAATTAATTAATTTATTTATTTATCTGTTATGTTAAATTTTTATGCCTATGTAGTTTTAAATAAAAATTTTCAGATTTAAAATAATTTTACATACCTAATTTTTATTTTTTTTGGTAATAATAATTCATGTCTATTAAATTTCTATGAATAATTATTATTATTAAACACAAAAACAATCAAACCTGATGATGTCATCACATTTATTAATTATTTATAAAGTTAATGTAAAAAAAAAATATAATAATATATAAAAATTTTTTTTTTTTTTTTGCTTTTTATTTATAAGAATATTTATTTTAAACACATTAATAAATATATACATAAATACTCAGAATATTTTAGATTTTGATTTAGAAATAAAAAAAATAAAAATAAAAATACTCACCATGAATACGATGAGTACAAGTGGAGGAAATGGTACAACAAATGCCGTTAGAAGAAAAGTTATGAGCGTCGGATCTGAAGAGGTGCGTTTTTAACTAAAAAAAAAATATAAAGCGGATTAATAAATAAATAAATTAATTAATATAATTTTATTTACAAATAAAAATTCATAATAAATATAAGTTTATTTAATTCTATTGAATTTATTATTCTTACTTAAAAAAAAAATAATAATTAAAATCCCATTTAAAAAAAAAAAAAATTCATTCGCGTTTATTTTGCATTAATATTTTTTTTTTCTTTTTTACAAAATTATTATTATCATTATTATTATTATTAATAGTTATAATTTTGTGAATATAAAAGTTTTATTTTATTATTTTAAAACGGCGGTTCTGCGCTATTCGAAAAAAAGAGAAAGAGAGAAAAAAAAAGGTCAGTGTTAGGCGCAGCCTTCACCGCCAAAGCTTTTCACCTTCGATTTTATGGAGAAAAATTTTTATTTTTTATTTTTTTGTGTTTAAATTAATTTACTAATTAAAAATGTTTATTTAAAATTTTATTTACTGTATATAGTGCCATAAAATATAATAAAAGTGTAATTTTTAACGTTATTAAATTTTATTTAAAGTGAATTTGACCTCACAAACACACACACAGACACACAAATCTAAAAATTCATTTTACATTTCTTTCAATTGTTTTAATATTATTATTAATTTTCAAAAAGAATTGGGGAGAGAAATATCCATAGATTTTATTATTATTATTATTTTTCATTTATTAATTAAATATATAGATATTTAAAATACGCATGAACAATTTTTTTTAATATTCCAGTTAATCGATTATTTTTTATTAATTTAATTTTTAAAATTATTTAATTTAATAATAGTAAGAATAAATTAAATTTAAATTTATTTAAAAGGGAGGAGGAGGGGGTGTGTGTTACGCACAAATGTTATTTAAAAAAAAAAAAATTTTTTTTATTAAATTTTCGAAGGTGAAAAGTGATGACCTAAAATAATTTCCAGGTACAAATGATATTTTTAAAAATTGATTTGATAAAAATGAGTGATCCAGATAATTTTGACGACGAGGTAAGATTTGTTCCCCCCCCCCCCCCCTCATCTTTAATCATTGTTTAATAATTTATGAGTTTTTTATAAAAATCATTACCCAAACGTTTCCCAGGATTTTACCCGAATCATTAAAAGTTAAAAAAAAAATTTTCCTAACAAGTCCAGAACCAGAAGTTAATAAAATAATTTTTACACACTTTTTGTAAAAGGAAAATTTTTTTTCTTACAGGAACTCGTTTCTGCTACCACACAAAGCAGAAATTGGAAAGGGATTTTAATTGCTTTATTAGTTATTATTATTGTTTTGGCATTAACTGTTACATCTGTTATATTATTAACGCCTCCCGAAGATGATATTAGAATTAAGGGGACCCGTTTTAAACTCAAAGAAATATTAAATCACGAATATCAGAATTTGCCATTTAACGGTTCTTGGATTTCCGGTTAGTATTTAATTAATATTTACTTTTACAACCATTTTATATATAATAACGATTTATCTGTTTTTTATTTATTTTAGGTGAAGAATTAATTTTTATGGATGATTGGGGAAGCATTTCAATATTAAATGCAAAAAATTTATCCATTCGTACAGTTTTAGGCAATCACACACTGGTATGTAAAACAAATGTTAAATAATTTTTTTTAAACATAATTAAAAATCGAATCCATACATAAAAAAAAAATTATTTTTCAGAGTCAATTCAACATAGGAAAATTCATAATGTCACCCGATCAAAAATATATACTTTTGGTTTGCAATATACAAAAGGTAAATATATAAAAGCATTTAAGAATGATATTATTGTAGCTTTATTAAAGGTGTCTAAATTCATGTTATCTGTTTTTTTTTTTTTTTTCTTTTGTGAATGATATTAATTAATTAACGAAATCATAATCAGGCATGTAAAAAAAAAAAAAAAAAAAAAAAAAAATCGCGGATGTAAAAAAATTTTAACGGTTATTCAACATGTAGGACCTTATTGTGATTGTTGTTGTTGTTTTTTTTTTGAAATTACATGTAAAACATAATTAATGATAACAATCGACTATAAATACATACTACTAATACTGAATATTTTGCTAATTGTTTATTATTATTATTTTTATAATGAGATATTATTGAAAAGTTATTTGAAAAATAATAATAATAATAACGGGTTAAGAATAAAATCGCAATTTATTATTTTATATGCCTGATTTATTATATGTACATAATACTATCTAATAAATAGATGCCTGATTTCGGATGACGATGATTATGATGATGATGATGGTATTATTAATAATAAAAAATTAAAAAAATTAAAATTAATTAAAGTTAAAAAAAAAAAAAAATAAAAATTTTCACAATCAAGCATTATTTTACAATTTTAAATAATATAAAATAATATTAATTTTTCTTTTATTATTATTATTATTTGTTTTTTTTTTAATCCCTGACTAGTTTACACACAGAAAAAAAAAATTTTTTTTATTTTTAAAATTAAAGTTTTTTTGTTACCTTTATTATTATTTATAAATTATAAATAAATTTTTTAAAAAGAATATTAATGATTGATGATGATTAAAGGTTTTGTTTTTTTTTTTTTTTTTTTTTTTGAAATTTGTCTCAGGAAAAAGATAAAAAAAAAAAATTTTTTTTATATAAATTAATGCTTGATGTGATGTGATGTGCATCTTGTTGCTTATTCCGTGTCAATTTTGTTTGTTTGTTGTACAGCTGTTCCGATATTCGTTCCTGGCCAATTATTACATTTACGACATTTCTACCATGTAAGTATTTATTATCCATAACAACAAAAAAAAAAAAAAAAAAAAGTAGATAGAAAAAACTTTTGTAAATTTTGCGTTTTTCCCTCCCCAAAATCTTTTTTTCTTTTCTTTTTTCTTTCTTTCTTTCTTTGTTTTATGCACATACCTGTTATTCAATTAGTCATTTGACTCAGGTAATATATAATAATGCGTTTATTATTATATTTATTATTATAACTATTTACATTAAATTATTTTCATGGGTTATTTTTGTTTATGCCAAGGTAAGAACAAAAAAAAAGAACCTTTGCGTGTAAAATTATTAAAGTAAAAAAAAAATTTACTTAAATAATTTCATTTAAAAAAAATTATTTTCTAATCAATCAAATTTTAATGAATATCGATTAATTTTTTGTTCTCCCCTGATCACTTTTCTTATTTATTACATATTTTTTTTTCTTTTTTTTGCTTTGATTTTTTATATACATAAAAAAAATAAATAAATAAATAATTTATTATTAAAAATGTTATTTAAAAATAAATTTTTTTTTTATAATATTTTTTATTTTTCGTTATTGGTAAGTCGTATAAGATTTATGTAAATCGATTATTTATATTAAAATAAATTTTTTTACGATTTAGTTTTTATTTTTATTTTATAATAAAAAATAAAAATAAAAATTGTTTTTTTTTTTTTTTTTTTTTTTAAATTAATAACAACTGAGAGTTTTAAATAAAATTTTCAGGGAAATTTTTCCGATAAAAGTAAATTCGGCAGATGAACAGGATAATTTTTTCCAGTTGGTTGATTGGGCCCCACGGGGTAACGCCCTTCTTATTGTTTACAACTATGATATCTATTATAAAACATCACCGACAACAAACAAAATTTATAGGCTTACCGAAAATGCCGAACCCGGGGTTGTCAGCAACGGATTACCCGATTGGTTATACGAAGGTTTGTTTTTTTTTTTTTTTTTTTCAAAATTAGTCTTATTTTAGGTTTTCTGTTAGTATTTTTACTTACAATTTCTTTTTTAGAAGAAATATTATTTGGTAGCAGAGCGTTGTGGATGAGCAACGATGGTCATCTTTTACTTTATGCAAAATTTGACGATTCCGAAGTTGGAGAAGTTAAATTATCTTGGTATAACGTACATGAACGTGCCAAACAATATCCTGAAATTCGACCTTTGAGATACCCAAAGGTATTGATGGTTTTAATTGATGGTGATACTCTTATTCAAGTAACTAGTAGTTTCTCTTGTGTATTTCAGGCTGGTACCAACAATCCAAAAGTTTCTTTGTTTGTTTCTGACTTGGCGGATCTTGATAATATTAACACCAAAGAAATAATTCCTCCGCATGGACTAATACATTTGAGGTAAAGTTCTTTAACTTTAAATTTTATTCTTCGTTTTCCTGAAACAAAAAAATTAAGTTATTCTACGAAGAAAGGGTCTGACGAAATTAAAACTTTTTAAAAGCTCTTTAATAACTGTTCCCAAGTTAGAAATTGATAAATTTTTTATTAAAAAAGCATTAAAATTATTTTTAGTGATTACTACTTTTCTTCCGCGAGCTGGATTTCTCTGACAGAAATTTGTGTCGTATGGATGAATAGACCACAGAACCTTTCATTGGTAACAATTTGTAAGAGTCCACTTTGGCACTGTCAGGAGGTACTTGATTTATTCAACTTTTATTTTATTTTCTTCTTTTTTTTTTTTACAAAGTAGTTTTTTGAATTTTCAGACGCAAAGAATCAGCGGAGAAGGTAAAGGATGGGTTGAAATATTTCCTTCTCCACTATTTTCACCGGATGGGAAACGATACATAACTTTGGCGCCGGTAAGAGATGGATCAGCTGGATATTTTAGGCATATTATCACGGTCGATATTCAGAAAAAACGAGCTTTGCCATTAACTCATGGAAAACATCAAGTCAATAAAATAATAGCCTGGGATTATAATCTAAACGTTATGTACGTTTAATATGTAATTAAAATACTTTTGCTTAAATGAGAATAGCTGAAAAAAAAAAAAACTTTCGCGCAAGATGAAATATATTAATAGTAAATTTCTGAAAAAAAAAAAAAATTATTAAATATTATTCCAGATACTTTCTAGGAACACCAGAAATGTATCCAAGTCAAGTTCATTTGTACAGAGTAAGTTCTGATCCCCCTAAGATTGGATCCCCACTTCCTGTTCCAGTGTGTATTTCGTGCTTTCCAAATAACCAAACGTAAGTGTTCTTTGTTAATTCTAATCAATTGTCAATCAATTTTTTTTTTTTTTTTAATGCTTATAAAAAGAAAAAAAAGAATTTTTGACCGTTAAACGACGCGTTTCCTCCTAAATTTTAGAAAAACCCTTTTTCCGTTGATATATGTAAACTTATTGATTGTTTCATTTTAAATTTGATTAAAATAAAATATTTTGATGTTTATAAAGTGAACTGAAAAATAACAAAAAAAAAATTTTTTATTTATTCTTTTTTTTTTTTTTTTTTTTTTTCAGATTAGAAAAAGAAAATTATTCAAAAAAAATAAAAAGTCTTCCTGAATCATCTGTTTCTGACAATGAAATTAAAAATGGTTAGAAAAAAAACTTACGTACATTTATATATAAATAAAAATTTTCCTTTTTCACATTTATTTGCTAACAAAAATAAAAATTTTATTTTTATTAAGATGGTGATAAAATGAAAAACAAACTGGAAGAGGAAACACCAAAAGAAGAATATTCGTATCACAACGTTTTATTTAGTCCCGATTTATCGTTTTTCATTTTGGAATGTTTGGGTCCGGGAGTACCTATAACGTCTTTGTACACGACAAAAAATTACCCGCAAAAACCGAAACTTGTCGCCATTTTGCAAAACAATGTTAAATTAAAGGTAAAATTTATCATTTTTCTTATATTTAACTTATGGAAAGGAATTTCATATGGAAATAAAAATGAAAAATTAACTGAAATTCGGTTTCATAAATTTTTTCAAGGAAAAAATATCAAAAAAAGCTGTGCCTGTTTTAAAAACATTTTCAATACAAATGTCAAGTGGATATCAAGCTCAAGTTCGTTTATATTTTCCTCCGGGACTAAGAGAAGACGAAGTTACAAAATATCCACTAATTGTACAAGTGTAAGTTATGGAAAATTTTTTTCTTTTCAATTCGATGCTTGATATTAATTGATAAAACTGGGTTTAACTATTAAAATTATTTATAAAATGAATGTAATTTTATTTTTAAAACAAGATACGGAGGACCGGGTACCCAATTAGTGACTGACAGATGGAAAATAGATTGGTTTACATTTTTGGCATCTAATAAAGACTACATAGTGGCACAAATCGATGGTAGAGGATCCGGGGGTCAAGGCTATCAATTAATGTATGAAGTATACCATCGTTTGGGGACGGTTGAAATAGCAGACCAATTGGAAATCACCGAGTAAGAAAACTTGCATTATTATTATTATTTTTTTTTTTTACAAAACAGGTATAAATTTTCATTTGACAATTACAGGTATTTAAAAGACACTTTTCATTTCATTGATGAACAAAGAATTGCCGTTTGGGGATGGAGTTATGGAGGATTTATTTCTGCTCTTTTAATGGCCAAAAATTCTGGAACTTTTCGCTGTGGAATATCTGTTGCACCTGTCACTAATTGGGCTTTCTATGGTATTTTAAAAATAATAAATAATTGTTCAATTATTCTTGGAATTATAATTAATTATTATTATTATTATTTTATTATAGATTCCGCTTATTCTGAAAGGTACATGGGTCTTCCGAACGTAACGGATAATTATAAAGGATACGAAGAATCGGATGTGAGCAAAATGGCAGAAAATTTTAGAAACAAAATGTTATATTTAATACACGGAACAGCAGACGACAACGTTCATTTACAACATTCGATGTCATTAATAAAAGCTTTGACATCGAAAGGAATATTAATTAGGCAACAAGTACGGATTACGATAAAAATTTTCTTATTATTAAGTTGACGATTTCTTGTGATAATTGAATAAATTTTTTAGGTTTATCCAGATGAAAAACACACATTATCCGGAGTAAAATATCACCTTTATAAAAGTATGATTAATTACCTGGAAAATTGTTTCCGAATAGAAATAACGTCTGAAATGGAATCGGGACTTCGTGGCGGTGGAACAACTGATAGTTCTACAATATTAATTTAACTATTAATAAATAAACAATAAAAAAATTAATAGAATTCTTTAAATTTTAATATTAAATGACTTTTATAGACAAATAAAAACAAACAAACTCGATTAAACTTGACTGTAAAATTTTTAACTTGTTTTATATCCAAATTTTATTATTATTATTATTATTATTATCTGTTCTTAATTCTGATAAGTAAAAAAATTTATATAAACTGTTAAACCTTTTTTAAATTAAAATGCGTTTTACCGGGTCGTTCTTTGTGATTAAATTATTATTATTATTATTATTTATATACGGAATTACGCGATTTAAGACTCTTCTTTTTCACAATTTCTCAGGAATGAAAATTAACTTTGTAACAAATTGTTTTTTTTTTCTATATATATGTATATCGTTCCTTTCACTATTTCGTATTTATTTTTAATAAAATATTAAAAAAAAAAAAAAAAAAAAAGAAAAAAAAATTAATCATTTAATCTTATTGAAAAAATATAAATATTTACGATTAAAACAGTATTAATAATAATAATAATAATAATAATAATTACATTTTAAAAAATTTTAAATTATTTAATACTCAAAGTTAAATACTTTCTTTCTTTTTTAAAAAACAAAATTATAATATGTATATATATATAATTAATTATTTATTAAACGAAATACATACTGAAACATTTTAAATAATAAATGACGAAATTAACGGCAATCTAATTATTATTATTATTATTATTACTACTACATTACTTACACCCATGCAGTTATATAAACATATTTTTTTTTTCTCGGAAAAAATTTAATTTAATTTAAATATTATTAATTACGTAATTTAAAGTAATAAAAAAAATAAAATAACTTTTTATAGATAATACAAATAATGTTAGTTAAATTTATAATTGATCGATAATAATAAAAATTCTTGTTTAAATTAAATAAAATGTTAATAATAAAAAAAAAGAAAAAGTTATTTCATTTAAATTTACCGTAGTTGTTATTAAATTTTAAAAAAATTTAAAATTTTTCCATGCCTCATTTATTATAAATTAATTAATGTAAATTAATTTTAATAAAAAAAAGAAATAATAAAATTTTATAGCGATAATAAAATAACATAAATAACATTTTTAATAATGTTAATTTTAAATATAAATACATTTAATGTTAGTTATGTTTAATAATAAAAATACATTTTATTTTATTAAATACTTCTATAATACGGTGTTATAATACTTTTAAAATCCTTAACGAATAAAAAAAAAAAAAAAAAGGAAAAGAAATTATTCAAATACTCATCATCATGATTCATCGCTGCATTTCCAATTTCTAAGCAAACCCAATATTTTGTTTAACTTTTTACACCATGTTATCATTTCTTGTTTGCTGTCGGCAGATAATAAATGCCTAAAAAAAGGTCAAATTTAAATTAGTACCGTCAATATACGAATACAATTACATGAAGACAAATTCCAGCCGTATAACATGTCAAATAATAAAATAATTTGTTAAAGAAATTCATAAAATTTAGAGTCAAAGATTCAATAGCAAAATAAATAAAAACTTTACTGATTTAAATTCACCTTATTGTTGTGACATTATCTTTAACTGTTTGAATTAGTGAATTTTTGTCTTCTGCTAAACTGGGCCTGATAGATTCCAAAAGAAATGTATGAAGTCTGGCACACACATCATGTGGTACAACGTCAACGTTCTCTGTTACAATAGATCGCAAGTCGATCGTTCCAATGGGAACCTTAATAAAAATTTAAATAATTTTATGGTTTATCGGTATCCTTCAAAGGCTTTAAATCACATTTAAAAAAAAAAAAAAAACAAAAAGCAATAAAAGTAAAATAATAATTTTACTTTTTTTTGTTCGTCATCTGGATACTTCCAAAAAGAAATTGCATGAGAAGATAATAAACACCAACGCCGATGCCACGCTCCAAATCCAGATATATCATCAAACATGGTTAAAAATCCTCTGAATTCTTCATTTATTTGAAGTTTAGAAGTTATTGTCATACATAAGGTTCCCTCCAAAAGACTCACAAACGGAACCTAAAGTAGATGTTTTGATTTTTTTAATCGAGAACAAAAGACTTTAGTTTTATGTAAAAAAAAAAAAAAAAATAATAATAATAATAATAATTAATTACCTTATTAAGCATCCACTGAGATCGCGTAACTTCTTTAAGTGAAAAAACCATAAAACCACATAATTTAAAATTTGTAGATCGTATTGCTGTTGGTCCTCCTGGACTTTGAATTCGAAGTTTTACAAGCTTGGACTCGTTTTTTTTTGATTTTATGGGAGTAAGAAATTTCTTATCCTAAAACAATCCAAAAGAAAATAAAATTAATCGACAATTTAAATTTTAAAAATTTTATGCCGCAATTTTAACTTTTTTTTGTTCTCTTTAATCAAAAACCTAATAAAAATAAAAATTTAAAGGTTCGCGTAAATTAAAGATAAATATACGAAATTGTTTTAAAATAACAATAATAATATTCGCGCACAATAAAAAATTACGATTGTTGAAAGAGATAAATTTTAAATAAAATGAATCAGAGTTTAAAAACTCCATTAAGATTGGATAATAAAATTTTTAATTACCTTTTTGTTGGCAATATGATACTTTGTGTCATGGTCAATTAATTGTTTATTTAGTTCAAGATTGTAGACTTCTACCAATACTTTAAAGTCGCTCGATAAATTTTCTAATTTTACAGATCCAGGAAATTGTAAGTGAAAATCTTTTAAATTTTCTCTCGTGGTTGAAACAACTGAAGTCGCCAAAACGCGTTCTTCGTTTTTTATTAAACATACAAAATATTGAAGGCTTTCTACTAAAAATTTTTAAAAAAATAAAAACATGTTATTTTTAATTGTTTTTTAAAAAATAAGTAAATCTTTAAGTAAATTTTTTTTACCTGCGGCCATGCTCCTGATTGCATCTCTTTTCAATTTAAGAGAAATGTTGCTCATAATTACATCCCCTTTTTCGGATGTATTTCCTCCTGTTCCTCCTAAAGTTTTTTCCACTTTCAATCGTTGAATTTCGTTCAGGCATGCTTGCCTTTTGTGACCTGTAAATAAAGTTTCATTTATAGTTTTTATCCAGGAGAAAAAAAAAAAAAAAGTTTTGGTTTTTTGCATTTATCATACTAACTCGCCAAGAGCAACAAACGTTCACTTTCTACTTGTTCGTTGCTTCCAGTAAATTCAACACTGGAAAGACACAAGTTTAAAGCTTGACTGGCTTGTGATAAAATAATTTGCTGCTTATTAACCTCAGCTAATAAAGCTTGAAGCTTATTTTCGATTAATACATTTTCGTCTTCAACAGGATTTGAAACAATAATAGTATCTTCAACATTGGAAGGACACTGAAAATTTAAATTTAATAACAACATTTGTTTTAATTTTCACCGTTAAAAAATAATAAAACTAATAAATTATTAATTATATTTTTAAAGAGCTATTAAGTTATTAAACAAAAAGAATATTAATTTTTTTTTAATTCAAGGATTAAAATAAAATTTTTGTAAAAAAAACTTTGATTGAATCAAAAACAATTTTACCGATTTCGGTTGCTGCTTCCTGTAAAAACTGACAGTATGTATCAATCCATTATCATTATCATTACTTGGACTCATTATATTTAAATTATTATTTATTGAAGAAGAACTGGGACTTGAAAACATTTCTTCCATATTACTATCACTTTCAGAGACATCATTTAATGCGTTTTCCAAAATTTTATCCATTTTATTTAAAACTTGACACTCTTTTGATTTTGAAAAAGAAAGATCATTCGAAGATATTGAATCATTTGTGTTTGTTCCTTCTAAATTAACATCGATGTTATTGGTAATAAAATCATCATCATAACTAAAAGTTTAAAAAAAAAAAAAAGGTTAATATTAATTTTGGTAAAACTAATAAATCGCTTTAGAAAAAAGAAATATTTACTTTTCATTGGATGCTGTAACACTATAAGTCGGAGTTTCACTTTGAACATCATTTTCATTGGATTCCATAAACTCACTAAGATTGGGATACAGTCTTTCGTTAACATCATTATTATCATTTGAGCGCTCCGTAAATTTTGATTCCTCCATACGATTTACGTTTAAATTTAAATTATCTGGAGGAGATTCTAATGAGTTTAGTTTATTAGAATTTACGGAATTGTTG